CCCGCCATTCTCAGTATATGAGGCCACTCCCTAACCACTGAGCCACAGGCACTGCCCAATTTTTTTCTGTTTTTAGTAGAGACAGGGTCTCACTCTTGCTCAGGCTGGTCTCAAATTCCTCACCTCATGTGATCTTCCCACCTTGGCCTCCCAGGGTGCTAAGATTATAGGCACTAGCCACCCCGACTGCTGGTTTCTTTCTCTCGCCAGCTTGTTTTTCCCCAACTTCCCATCCCCACCATAAGCAGACACAAGTGTGAACTCACACCTTACTGAAACCACAATATTCTCCAAGGGTCTCACTAATCACCCCAGCTTGAGCGCAGTGGTATCAGCCTAGCTCACAGCCACCTCATATTCCTGGACTCAAGTGATTCTCCTGCCTTAGCTTCCTGAGTACCTTGGATGACAGCTACTTTTTTCTATTTTTAGGAGAGACAGGGTCTCACTCTTGCTCAGGCTGGTCTTGAACTCCTAAGTAATTACTCTCAAGTAATTCTCCCACCTCAGCCTCCCAAAAGTGCTAGGATTACAGATGGGAGTCATCTCCCCCAGCCCCACTTCCAGACTGTTGAATTCACAAACTTTGTGAATCTGAGTTTCGCTTTGGAATCTGAAAGGATTCTTTAGAAGTAAGCCAGAGCTACTTTTTAAACAAAAGACGTTCATGTAGTGTGAATTTTGAGGCTCTGTTAGGGCCACACTTGTACTCACACTTTCTCCCTTCGGGAAGCCCTACAATCTACTGAGCATCTGTTACCAACTAGGTATTTGACGGACCATTCCCTCTAGTCCTTGAACAACCCTGCAGGGGAGCTATCGTCATCCTTATCATACAGGTAAAGAACTGCAGTTTGGAGAAGCTAAGCCACCAGCTCCATGGCATACAGCTAATAATAGCAGAACCAAGATTTGATTCTGGATCTTGAGACTCCAGGGACCATGTTTCTTGATGTGCCACACCAGGCTGCCACACCACTGCCTTAGCCACTCAGTGCCAGCCCTTCCTCCCCTCCCCACTGTGTTATCTCCCGCATCCCATAGGCTCACTCACATGCCCCCCACCCGCTCTGTCGTTTGAGTACACACTTGTCTTCCAGTGTTTGTGTGTGTGCGTTCCATCCCCTCCCTTGTTTTCTCACAAACAGACCCAGACCCAGGTAGGGATATTTTGGCCTCTTACCCAGAATGTCTTCATAAACATTCTCCTCTGATAAAGTGCGTGTGAGCCCCAGCTTAGTCTGCGCGTACCAGTCCACCCTGCTGTTCTCAGAGGAAGACTGCAGTAAGTCTTCAAACTCGTAGGACTTTCTGGGTTGTACAGGATGGGAGAGAAAAACAAAGAACTTGAATCAAATTAGGGTGGTTTAGACAGCACAAAGAAAAAAATTTTTTTAAGAGACAGAGTCTTATTCTGTCGCCCTCGGTAGAGTGCTGTGGCATCACAGCTCACAGCAACCTCTAGCTCTTGGGCTTAAGCGATTCTCTTGCCTTAGCCTCCCAAGTAGCTGGGACTACAATGCCCAGCTATTTTTTGTTTGCAGTTTGGCTGGGGCTGGGTTCAAACCCTCTACCCTGGGTATATGGAGCTGACACCTTACTCACTGAGCCATAGGCACCACCTGAAAAAATTTTTTTCTTGGTAAAATTTCTTTCTTTTTTTTTTTTAGAGACAGAGTCTTATTTTATTGCCTTCAGTAGAGTGCTGTGGCATCACAACTCACTGCAACCTCCAGCTCCTGGGCTTAGACGATTCTCTTACCTCAAACTCAGGGGTAGCTGGGATTACAGATGCCTGCCACAATGCCCGGCTATTTTTGTTGTTGTTATTATTGCAGTTTGGCTGGGGCCAGGTCCGAACCCGCCACCCTCGGTATATGGGGCCGGCACCCTACTCACTGAGCCATAGTCACTGCCCTTCTTAGAAAAATTTTTATTACTGAAGTCAACTCTATTTTTTGGTAAGAGGTATGAAAATCCATGAATAAGAGACTTAGCTTTTACTTGTGAGAATGTTGGCTCTATCATTAAACTAAATTAAAACATTAAAGTATATATAAGAAAACAATTCCACCTTTGTAAATGTATGTATAGAAAATGAAAAGAAGGAAAGGAAGTGAAATACAGTTGCTATCTCAAGACTGAGAGATGCTTGGTGACTTTTCCTCACTTTGACTTTTCTGGACTTTTCAAATTTCCTACAAGATTTACAAAGCATACGTTACTTATAATCAGAGGAGCAGTGAAGACGGGCTCAGAGTAGACTAGAGAATCTGGTTTATCTAGCTAAGCAGGCATCCTCAAACTATGGACCACGGGCCACATGCAGCCCGCCTAGGACATTTATCCAGCCCACCAGGTGTTTTTGCTGCCGCTGCCTGTCCTGCTTAGCAGCTGACTTGTCCCGGGGCTTGCAGTCTGGCCCTCCAATGGTCTTAGGGACAGTGAACTGGCCCCTTGTTTAAAAAGTTTGAAAACCCCTGATCTAAGGGGTTTGTTGGGGATGGGATTATCCTTTATCTAAATGGTTCTTGTCGAAACTCTGGGTTTTCTTTCTTTCTTTCTTCTCTTTTTGAGACAGTCTCAGTCCATTACCCTGGGTAGAGTGCTAGGGCATCATTTCTCACAGCAACCTCAAACTCTTGGGTTCAAGGAATTTTCTTGCCTCAGCCTCCCAAGCAGCTAAAACTATAGGTACCCAACACAATGTCCGCTAGTTTTTCTATTTTTGGTAGAGACGGGGTCTCACTCTGGCTCAGGCTGGTCTCAAACTCCTAAGCTCAAACCTGCCTCGGTCTCCCAGCGTCCTAGGATTACATGCCACTGCACTTGGCTTAGAAATTCTGGCATTTCAAGGCATAGTTTGAAAGTTTTTTTATAATCCTTTCATAGTTCTATCAAAAAGATACTAATATAAGAGTTTAGTCATGCTTTACATTTTATTTTTCTTTCTTTTTTCCTCTTTCTCTCTCTTTTAGTCAGAGTTTTACTGTGTCACCTTGGGTAGAGTGCCAGAGTGTCATCACTCACAGCACCCTCAAACTCCTGGGCTCAAGTGATCCTCCTGCCTCAGCTTCCTGAGTAGCTGGGAATACAGGTGCCTGCCACAATGTCCAGCTAATTTTTCTATTTTTAGTAGAGACAAGGCTCAGGTTGGTCTCTCTTTTTTTTTAATTAATTTTTTTTTTGAGTCGGAGCCTCAAGTTGTCGCCCTGGGTAGAGTGCCATAGCATCATAGCTCATAGCAATCTCCAACTCCTGGGCTCAAGCGAGTCTCCTGCCTCCATCTCCCAAGTAGCTTGGACTACAGGCGCTTGCCACAACGCCTGGCTATTTTTTGGTTGCAGCCATCATTGTTGTTTGGTGGGCCCGGGCTGGATTCGAACCCACCAGCTCAGGTGTATGTGGCTGGCGCCTTAGCCACTTGAGCCACAGGTGCCAAGCCGGTCTCTAACTCTTAAGCTCAGATGATCCACCACCCTCAGCCTCCCAGAGGGCTAGGATTTCAGGTGCGACACTTCACCATGCCAGCCTTTGTATTTGATTTCTGACGTAGTGGTACTATCTAGACAGCATTAGAAAAGTCTAATTTTTTAAAATTATAGGTGGCACAGGTAGTGCCTGTGGCTCAGTGAGTAGGGCACCTACCTCATATACCGAGGGTGGCAGGCTTGAACCTGGCTTCAGCCAAACTGCAACAAAAAATAGCCAGGTGTTGTGGTGGGCACCTGTAGTCCCACCAAGACAATTGCCTAAGCCCAAGAGCTGGAGGTTGCTGTGAGCTGTGATGCCACTGCACTCCACTGAGGGGGATATAATGAGACTGTCTCAAAAAATAATAATAATAAATAAAATAAATAAAAATTACAAAACTTTTTTTTTTTAAGACAGAGTCTCACTATGTCACCCTCAATAGAGTGCTGTTACATCACAGCTCACAGCAACCTCCAACTCTTGGGCTTAAGTGATCCTCTTGCCTCAGCCTCCCCAGTAGCTGGGACTATAGGTGCCTGCTACAAAGCCTATTTTTCTTTTTTTCTTTATTTTTTTGCAGTTTTTGGCCAAGGCTGGGTTTGAACCCACCACCTCCAGTATATGGAGCTGTTGCCTTACTCCTTTGAGCCACAGGTGCCACTCGTGACTATTTTTAGAGATGGGATCTCACTCTGGCTCAGGCTGGTCTTGAACCTGTGAGTTCAGGCAATCCACCTGCCTCAGCCTCCCAGAGTGCTAGGATTACAGGCATGAGCCACTGAGCCCGGCCCTCTTATTTAATTTTCAAAAGAATTCATCCAAAGGTTTCTTGAATAGCAGCTCCATTTCCTCTATTAAAGTATTGATTTTCAGGTGATCAATACTTCCCTTGCAGGAAGCCTGAAAGTCAAACTCAATATGAAGCATAATCCATACAAGATCAGGAAGAGGCCAGAAATCTTTATGGGCCCAGTTTCTAGAACTAGTGAGAAAACAGAATTCCAATTTCAAAGTTTGATTATCATTGTCCATGTGTTGGTAACACACGTGGGCAATGGCGTTAGGGGGTCAGTTTCTCCTAAGCATCATTTCTATAATCTACATAAATGTCTCCAGGGACTTTAGTGCTTCCCCTTCAGAGGTTCAGGTAGATGATTTAGGAAGAGAGGAGAAATATTAGTACATTCATCATCCAACTGCTTAGCTCATTCTATTATCATTTAAATTTTTTTTTTTTTTTTTTTTTGGAGACAGAGCTTCCAAGCTGTCGCCCTGGGTAGAGGGCTGTGGCACCACAACTCATAGCAACCTCACTCAAGCAAGTCTCCTGCCTCTGCCTCCCAAGTAGCTGGGACTACAGGAGCCTGCCCCAAGGCCGGACTATTTTTTGGTTGCAGCCATCATTGTTGTTTGGCAGGCCGGGGCTGGAGTCGAACCCGCCAGCTCTGATGTATGTGGCTGGCGCTTTAGCTGCTTGAGCCACAGGCGCTGAGCCTAAATTTTTTTTTAATTTGAAAAAAAAAAGTGTATTTATTCACATATTAGCTTTGAGAGAAAGAAACTTATGAAGGGCTAGTGGATGATACCTGCATCCCAACTGGCTTCCCTCTAGTTTGAACATATCCGACGTTCCTGCCACATCCCACCCACGTGTGTAATATGTACCTTATGCTCACATTGTGCTCAAAGCCGGTGATGCAAAGGTAAGAAGTCTCTGTGTCTGGGGCGCCCCTGGCCTGGGACCTGGTGTAACTTCCTCTCAGCCTGAGTTTACTACTCAGGTCCTCATGTGATCATTTGACATTTGGTATTTCGGAGTTTTAGAGATGCTAGATAGAATAGGGTATGATTGTTTCAGAGAATTATTATAGCCTATGTACTATCTAAATTTCAACACCAGGGCCAAATACTATGATTTTGAGTAGCATTTTGAATGCTCTTCGTGACTTTTCCATATTTTTGTAAATGAAATGCTAACTTAAGAGTTCATCCCATTTGGAACATGCACAAGAATCTCAAGATTGAACTCATAATGCTATTGCCTCTCTCTAACAAAGACCAGCTCCTCTCCCTATGCAGCCAGCCAAAGGTTTATGCCTTAAACCTGGACGACAGACTTCAAACCTCCCTCCCTCTCTCTTACTGCCCACATTGAGCCAATTAACCCAAGGACTACCTCCAAAGCACCCTTTGAACCCACCTACTTCTCTTAATCCCCACTGCAGCCACACTACAGGGTAACTGCAAGACCTTTCTGCTGTTCTCCCCACCCGCCCACTGGTGCCCATCCAGTTTGTATGCTGGGGCCAGGACGATCTCCCCCCAGTGCAAATCTGATCGTCTCTCTCCCCTTCTTAAAAACCTTCAAATGCTTCCTATTGCTCTCAGGTAATAGGGCCAAATCTCTACCTTGTCTGCAGGTCCAGAAACCTCTAGGCCTCATCTCACATCCTTCCTCTGGCCAAACCCCCTGCGCTACAGTTCCTCTGACATCCTAAAGGTCTTTCTGGTGGCTACAGGGCCTTCAACTGTTTGTTCACTCCAATGGACCACCTCGTACCTCCTACACTCTCCCCAGCCTGAGTGTCACTGCCTCTCAAGCCTGCCTGGTTTCCCTGATAGGCTAGATACCCCTACTCAACATTCCCACACACCTGGGCTTCCCCACAGCACTGAGTGCATAGAATTAGATAACTAGTGGTATCTTCTATTACTAGTCTGTAAGTTCCCTGAGGGCAGGGTCTCAGTCTTCTTGTTCACTACCACATTCTCATGTCTAACACTAAATAGGTACATGGTAAATATGCATATTTGTTGGTTGAATAAGTGAATGCACA